TAAAAAATTACAAAATATAATTTTGAATTAACTCCACTTAAAGTGTTTCTGAAAATAAATCCCCATTAAAACAAGGAAAACAATAATAATAAATTAATAACGAAGAAGATAACGAGAAAGGTAGTGACGTGGCAGCAAAGTCCAATCATTTCCGACGTCGGTTGTCCATTTTATCTATATTGTCCGAAATTCAAAAAATTCAAATCCTTTTTCCCGTAATTACCTCAGATTCGGAGGGACATTATCGGAAAATTAACCCCAAGAAAACAGAAGTTCGGAGAGGAGAACGGAAAGTGAAGGAAGAGAGAGGTAAGGGGCCAAGCAAGTAACTACTAAAAAAGAAAGAAAGGGGAAGAGGTGGAATCACATGGGCATTAGTTTGTTGTCTCTCCCCCCCTGCCTCTCCCTCCTCCCCCTCCTCTCGTCTTCCAGACCATGATCTCTACCTTCACTTTCTCCAGTTAGACCTTCCTCCCTCCCTCCTTCCCTCCTCGCACTCTCTGTCAGTCGCTGTTCATGGCCGACGATAAGGTGAACTGCCGCCTCTCCGATCTTGCTTGCTTCTTTTCTTTGCTACCTTTACTTTGTCTTCACGGAAGCTCGAATCTAATTGGAAATAGATTTCAGAAATCCGACGGTTTCTTACATTTTTCCTTTCATTTTTTTACTTGTCCTGATATGAAGGCTGTTGGAAGACAGTGATTCTTTGTTGATAAGATAAGACGTTTTTTTTTTTTTTTTTAATTTTTTCAAAATTTTCTATACCTGTCTGTCGGCATATAAATCTCACGAGATTCAGAATTTCTGCTTTCCTCGTCGATTTTCTCCTCTTTTTTTTTTTTTTTCTGTGTATGTTTTTTTGCCGACGGCGTTAGGTTTCCTCATTTATTCCGGCGATCTTATTTGTTGAGCTCGTATTTGATCTATGATCTTTAAAAAAACAAAAAAATTTCTGAAACTTTTTTATGGTGTTCTGGTTATTGTATTTTCTGATCTGTATTTTAAGCTACATATGTATTTGTTTGGGCCTGTCTAGATGTATTGCTGTAAGTGTCTATTATCCTTGTATAACTCATGGATCTTCCATTTATCTAGTAAAATGGTGATGGTTTATTCTGATATGATCATCTTTTAGTTTCTGTTTTAGTGATTCGCTGCTATTACTGTTGCCTCCTGAAACCTGCTCTTAAATGGTTGGATTGATTTGGGAAAACCCTAATCTAATACTTTGATTGAGATATGTTTTGCAGGAAATGGCTGCGCCTGTGGTTGACGGGAATGATGCGGTTACGGGTCAGATTATTTCCACCACGATAGGGGGCAAAAATGGAGAACCCAAACAGGTATTCATTTTCTTAGATGCCTGCTACCTCGTCTTTGGTATTTAAGTTGTGCTGAAATTAAGATTTAGGAATTTTTTTTTTTTTTTCAATTTTGGGTATTGAGTTTGTTTGATCACTTATCCGGATTCAGTTTGTTTACCTTGGAAACTCTTGATTTTGGTGCTTTTTCCCTCATGCAGACTATCAGTTATATGGCAGAGCGTGTTGTGGGGACTGGGTCATTTGGAATTGTTTTCCAGGTAATTGATTAGTTTCTTTCTGACAGTTCTAATTTTGTTTGCAATTTCATGTGCTGATGTTACCCTTCTTGCAGGCGAGATGCTTGGAAACGGGAGAGACTGTGGCTATAAAGAAGGTTTTGCAGGACAGGAGATATAAGAACCGAGAGCTGCAGTTGATGCGAATGCTGGATCATCCAAATGTGATTTCGTTAAAGCATTGTTTCTTTTCCACAACAAGTAAAAACGAACTTTTTCTCAACCTGGTGATGGAATATGTACCCGAGAGCATGTATCGTGTTTTAAAGCATTACAGCAGTGCAAATCAAAGAATGCCTCTGATCTATGTCAAACTTTACACGTACCAGGTATGCGTGCTGCTTCTGTGAGTGATTTGTTCTCTCTCATTCTCTGTTTAAATTGTATTAATTAGAATTTTCCTTTCAGATATTCAGGGGACTGGCATACATCCACAACGTTGCTGGTGTTTGTCATAGGGATTTGAAGCCTCAAAATCTTTTGGTATGCTTCTTTGACATGTGATTTTGATGAAAGGGTTTAGATAGACGATCTCTCTAAACCAATTTTTGGCTTTCTACAGGTTGATCCTCTTACTCACCAGGTTAAGATTTGTGATTTTGGAAGTGCGAAAATGCTGGTGAGTTGCCCTAATGCTAATTCTGAGTGCTCCTTCCTTAAAATTTGTGCCTTTTATTTCACAGCTGAGCAATTGTCTGTACTCCACATGAATCCTTAAAAAAATCTGGTTCTTATGTCTTGTAAAACTTTAATAAAGCAATTTTTAACCATTGTTATTGTGATATGAGGAATTGGCTATTAACTTATGAAATATGGAATATAATGTTGCACACTTTCACGTTTATGTGTTGTTTAACAGAATATGAAGTGATTTTTGGTTGGGTAGTTACTAATAACTCACTTTCTTCAGGTCAAAGGAGAAGTTAACATTTCATACATATGTTCACGGTTCTATCGGGCTCCAGAACTTATCTTTGGGGCCACAGAATATACAACGTCCATTGATATCTGGTCAGCTGGTTGTGTTCTTGCTGAGCTTCTCTTGGGCCAGGTCAGTATATTCTATTGCTTCTCAAATTTTGCAAGAATAATGCAGTTCCTTAGTGTAAATGTCTTTGGATGACTGGGAATTATCTCTGTTTCTTGTAGCCCTTATTTCCCGGAGAAAATGCGGTGGACCAGCTTGTAGAGATTATCAAGGTGCTGTTTGGTTGATAATGCCTGGAGTCATTGCAATTCTTTGAATCAATAGTTGTCTGATATCTTATTATTTCAGGTTCTAGGAACACCCACAAGGGAAGAAATTCGCTGCATGAACCCAAATTATACAGATTTTAGGTTTCCACAGATTAAAGCACACCCATGGCACAAGGTCTGCATTTCATTCTTCACATTAATCAGTCAACTGAAAACTCATAATTGCATTTCCCCTTTAAATTTTAATTAGTTCATGGCAGTAAATTCCAATTCACTTCTTTCTTCATGTATTTAGATTTTTCACAAACGGATGCCTCCAGAAGCAATTGATCTTGCTTCTCGTCTGCTGCAATATTCACCAAGTCTTCGCTGTACAGCGGTGAGTTAACAGCCTCCCTTCTTTAGCTTCTAAAATTTACATGAATGTGGTTGAGTTAGTCATCACTAAGCATTCGCTAAGAATTGTTCTTTCCCCTTTTGGAAATGCACAATCATTTTCTTAGTGTGTTTTTTGTGCTGGCATTTTTTGCTGATAATACTTTTAACTATTACAGCTTGAAGCATGTGGACATCCCTTCTTTGATGAACTTCGGGAACCTAATGTTCGCCTACCAAATGGTCGCCCTTTACCACCTCTTTTCAACTTTAAACAAGAAGTATGCCTCCTAATTTATCAAGCTTCATCTTGCTGTTTCTTCTTCCCACTTTTATACACAGATGTAGTTAGGATCATTTCTCTCTATTCTATGGTCTGTGATTTTGTACTTTCCAAGTTTTGAATGAAGTCTTCTAGGTGCCTTTTAATTGCCATTATGCTTTAACTTCACACCAGACAGTGTCCCTTCCTGGAGCTGGATTCCGTGGGGACATGATTCATATTTCTGGAATTTTACAATGTTCTATCTTAGATTGACAAGTAACATTCAATATGTGTTACTGAAGAATGGATTATGTTTGGCTTGATTGAGTTAATTGGATTATATTTTTGTGAGAAATTTATTTATTTAGTTCTGAAGTTATATATCCCTTTTTAATTTAGTCCTGATATTCTTTTTGCAGTTGACTGGGGCTTCACCAGAACTCATCAACAAATTGATACCAGACCATGTGAAACGGCAAATGGCACTACATATGATGCATCCAGCAGGGACATAAAATCATGGAAGTGTGATGCAGAATAGAATAGATATCTGCTAGTTGATGTGGTGGGGCACCAAGGAAGTACCATCTTTGTGAAGCTTCCATGGGTTAAGGCCTGTCCAGCTTCGTTTTCCAATCTACCACAACTCATACAGTAATCGGCTGCTGGATGGTGGCACTTTCCTGATTCGTTTTTCTTATCTAGTTTCCCTCTACCCTTCTCTTCATTCCATCGTTTCCTTTCCTAAATGCCTTTTTTTACCTTGATGTACATGTTTCATAGTGAAGATAGAGTAAGTTGGACTGATCAGAAAGCTGCTAGCAGAGGAAAAAGTTGAGGAAGTATGTGTGTGTTAGCTAGAAGGTAGAATGGCCTGGAGGCAAGGGGCGGGCCATATGGGTTTTTGGGTTTTTGTTTATTTTCATGTTGCTCCCTTTAGTTGTCGTGGTGGGTTTATTGTGGCTGACTTGAAATTGCAGACGAAATTGTTTATTACTCCTGTTTGTGCAAATATAAATGCTGTTGCTCGCTCTCTTTATTGCCACTTTATCTGCTTCTTTTTCTCTGTCTAGATTGAATGTCCCTTACAAAGTTTCTTAATTACCCAGCTGGGTTGGGATATGGGAGAACATCAAATGATGATTATCATGATAATGTGACGCATGATTTGTCAAAAAGAAGATGCCATGCGTCCACGAAATTATGATTTTCTTCTCTTTTTGGTCTTCAAAAGAATAGAATACCTTCTTGTCTCAATGTTTCTCAACTAATCATGTTGATTATTCCTTGTTCTTTTCTTCCCCCTAATTTCCTCCTTTATTCCCTTCCTAATCTTGGTGCGTACCATACCCCTTTTCTTATATTCAACTGATGATGATTCCACTGACGTGGGAATTAATATATATCTACATCTTTATTTGTATCATATGGTTGTTGAGATATTTTGTTAACTGATGAAAGAAAAATGCTACCAAAAAAAAAAAAAAAAAAGAATGAAAAACGAAGTATTTTACTTTCCATAAAAAATATATATTTTACAATCTCAATTGTATTCAATGGTAAAATATCCAATTTTTTTAGAAAACTGATAGAAAAAGGAAAAAAAAGTGAAAACCAAGACTTTAATAAAAATTTGTATGTGAAATTGTTTAAATATTTTTAATAAATTTTTT